CTTTGAAGTGGAAGGGCCGGGGCATGCATTACTCTCCGCTGACTTGCCAGAGCCCATCTGTTGGTGCCTCTAGACCCAGATATGAAAAATCAGTTGGGCACTAAACTCTGCTGAAATATGAGGGTAAATCCTGCCTAAGCCCGAACTCATGCATAAACCTCATGTGATTTTAATGGCATTTATAACCTAGTTGATAGGATGAGCTCAGGGCCTTAGCCCCCTGTGGGCATTTAATTGAGAATTCAGACACAATTATGCAGATAACTTCCTACAGTTTGATATAATTTGTTAGTTCATTTTAGAAACAATCCTGCAGTTAGGACAATTCCACCTGGGAAGGACAATGCGTACAGTCTTCCTTGCCCAGGTCCTGGAAATACCAAGAAACATAGTGATTTTAAATATCTTAGAAACTCTTGTGTGCACAGCACTGGCTGCATTTTAAAACTTTGATGGCCATTTATTATTTAAAGAGCATTTTAAAGATCACAGCAACCTGTATGTTAATTACCAAGAGTTCATTTGAAGGTGTGGTTTGAAGGCCTTTTGTAAGGATCTGGAAGAGAAGAGGATGCCCTAAAAGTGAAGCCAAGTTTTTCCCAGTGTGTTGTACAGGTACACCACTATCTTGCCGTGAGTTCATGGCGAGAAAGGCAGTAAGGAAAAAGAAACACAAATGCCTTAAATTCTGAAAAGCAATCTCTGACTTGGAAGTTCATGTTTGTGTGGCAGATTGTCATATCGTGGTCAATCCCTACCACTGAATTTCTATGTGCATTAAGCAGCAGGCCTTGTGGCAGCACAAATTTTATACTCCTCTCTGTCCTGAAACCCCACAATTTTCCATTTGTATGACACTTTGCTGCCTCTTCATTATATACCCAGGAAGCAATGCTGATGGATTAGCATCGCATCCAAAACAGAAACTGGCATCATCTCAAGACTCATGTGATTTACAACAACTGCTAAGTAAATTGGGATACTTTTTTTAGTTCCTGCTCTTCCTTTTTTAAAAATAAATCTGAAGAAAATACAATCCCAAAGGCCTAACAGGCACACATTTACAGATGGCAGCAGTGGGTCATAAATGACATCTTTTCATGGTACTATTTATGAGAGCCAAATAAACTGAGCATATTATGAGCCATTTATAATGTTCTTCAGCAGAACAGCCAGCCAAGAGACAGAGCTGAAAGCCTGTTGTAACAAAAGGTATCAAAGTGAGGAGGAGAACAGTATCTATAATTACTACTCCGGTGATAAAACAAGCATAGTACAGCAGATGGGTTTAACACAAGATCACTATTAAATAAAACACTGGCTCGAATGCCAAGGAATGAATATTCAAGAGGGAGTGAATTGAGGGAAAATGTATAAAGACAGCAAACGTAGCTCAGCAAACCTAGAAGTTAACTTGCAACTCTAACCAAAAAGATCAAGCCCCACATAATTCTCCACGTGGATTGAACCGCCCCTCTGCAGTCAAAACGTTCACAATTAGGGGTTAATCGACCTTACACAAATGACAGGACTGAGCACACTGATGGCACAGGATCCTGACCATGTAGCACTGATAACAAAAGATGTGAAACTCAAACCCAAAACAAAACCAAAAACTAGCAATATCAATTTGCAGAGCTTTTTCACTTACCACTTCATAAACTTTTCAGTTCTTCATCAGAAACACGCTGCAATTCATCTTTTTGGCAGCTTCATAGTTGTAGAACATTGTTTGACAAAACATGAGCCAAGTTACAATCTAAAAAAGGGTTTCTTCTCATTTTTAGAAGTTTCAAAAAATATTTTATGGTCAGAAGTAAGGATGGAATTAATTAAAGTGAATAAGGCTGCACCACGGAATATGGAGCTGCAATGCTCATGCTTTAGAGCAGGGCTCCAGCTCTCAGTGGGTTTGGAAGCAGTAGAAAGGATGCCACCACTAACAAGGCATTTTGAATAACTTTTTTTTTGGTCAACTTGCAGAGTTTTTTAAATTAAATGTTTCTGTAAAATGTAATTTCAGTATTAACTATGTAATATCTTCTTTAGCTTGAGACTCAACACTTCAAAGACTTCAAAAGCTTGACACTCACGTAATCAGCTCTCTAAGATCACTTAAACTATGCTATAACATGAACAAGGAGAGGACAAACAGTAGTAACAGCAGACAATACAAATTCAGAACCAATATATACCATTACAATATAATTTCAGAGTAAAAAGGCATTGAACATCATAAAAGATTCAAACCTAAAATATCCAAACACTTTCACAGTGACCCAAGCATACCCCTAAAGACTCAGGCTGCATCAGACAAATCCCGCTGCAGATGCTGTGGCTGGAAATACAAACCATTCACCGGCGGCTCTCAAGCTGCCTGGGCTCCCAGCATGTTAGCTGAAGTATTGGGAAAACAAATGAGTGGGGCCAGATAAACTATACAACGTCTAAAAGTTATTTTAAAAATCTATTTAAAGTAAACAGTTTTGCAATCCTTAACAGCCTTTACACATTTCAAGAACTAAGAGATGGGAGACATATAGTCTTGGTGATAGGTGTGTATATATATGTATATACACACATATATAAATGCATATATATATATGTATATATATATGGCATCAACAATCCCAATAACAGCAATAGAGTAGTTGCTGCCTTGCCTGGATTTTACACCGTTGCGCGTGTTGATGTGTTATGAAGGACCAGTGATACAAACCCCAGACATAGTAACAAACCCTGCTTCACCTAAACCCTCAGCTTCTGATTATTTTGGGGAAGAAAATTTTATACTGGAAAACCGGGAACCTGTGCTTTAAGGCTTGTCAAATGATTAATATATATTTAACGGACGATTAATACATATTTAACGGATGGCCCTCGGAGACTGTAACCTACAGTTTACTAATTTAGACAGGGATGAGTAAGTAACGTTAAGGTGTGGCTCTTCCTTTATCTTATCACTACACTCATATGTATGCTTTGTATGGAAAACTTTATTTGATAATAAAAATAGCATTCACAGACTTTCCCCTTCTTTGTTGCTACATCATATACATAGTGTCTGTTCCAAGGAAAGAAGCTCATACTGGGTAAGTCCACATCTACTCATACTAGTGTTATGTATAAACCCAATAAGTCAAATAAAGCTATGAACAATGTAGTATTTATATATGCATAGTGTTTTATAAAAAAGATTGGCCCACATACTGCTTTTCATCAACACAGAAAAGAGCATTATGCCTATAGCACATTGCAAGAAATGATGATTGAAGAACACAGACTGCATACAAGTGCTTAATAATACATAAGCAGGCCCACCATGAAAAAAGAAATGATATTCAAACCAACAAAAGCTTTAGAATTACTTATATAGTCTCCCATTTTAAAACAGCTTTACATACCTGATTCAGTTTACATTAAAATATATCCCCTGAATCAATTTGTTCCATTTTCAGAAATATAAACACTTAATCACATTCCTCACAGCTAAATTTTGTCATAAATCCTCTTTTATACAAGAAAAAGGCAACAGTTTTGTTTTTTTTTTCCAACAGGCTCTATTAATTACAATTTAAACTGTACACACAATGAGCGGCCATCTTCTTTCTTGGTTTTGTTTTTACAGTACCATGGCAACAACAGTGATAGACTTGCAATGTTCTCGTGTTTGTATGGGAAATGTGGAACAGTATACATGTACACACCAATGCACTGTAAAAAGCAGCAGTTTACTTCAGTGGTCCAACAGTAACGGCAAACATTTTGGCTCAGCTAGGCAGTAATCCATTAAAATCTTATACCAATACTACAGCAGACTTACCACACAACTTGCAAATTTAAAAATACAACTTAGAAACTTGCAGGTTTCCCTTTTGCTGCTGTTCTTAGATTCAAATTTACAGCATATAACCAGTATGGATAGGCTTCTACAACCAGGTTGTCCCACTGATTGCCTCTTTTTGCCTGTGTTTTTCCTTTGATACATCTTTTTTTTTTTTCTTTTTTTCCTTTTTTTTTCAGCAAGTGCACTCCTTTTGTCTCAGTAAGGATGAACCAGTAAAATAAAAACTTAAATACGGAGCGAGAAGAAGAGAGAGCTTTTGGAATTTGGCAAAGTAAGAAAAGCCCACTGGTTTTGCCTGAGCAGAAGGAATACACCTACTCCGAGAGGGAGGACTTTGCTCCCACCGCATTGTGCCTTGTCCCGGGATCCCGATCCCTTCCCTTGCTTCAAAGCAGACAAACAATACCATGCATGCTCGGGTTGCTGTCCATATACATCTAGAAGATGAGTAGGGCTGCGGCGGCTGCCTTAATGAATATCGTTAAATGTTGCTGAGGCTAATGAGAGATCAACAGTCTACGTTAGTGTGTGACACAGGCATGGTGGTTACCAGTCTTTCTGCCTTTGCGCATCCTGTAGAGGGGGCCTGAAAGTATAAACTGTTCATGGAACAAACTAGAAATTCCTTATCATAAATCATCTTGTGCTGTGTGGGTTTGTATTTTTTTTTTTTTTATTATTTATAATTATTATAAATATCCTTCATTGAAACAGTAGTCTCTTCAAACAGTTCTTGCAATTTTAGGAACATCTGTCTCTTTCTTTTTCAAACTTGGTCATAAAATCCTTTGCCTATATTATATTACTGGCTACCCCCATTTACTATGTTGGGGAGGGGGGGAAAGTAGCCCAATAAAGGAATTATTCTTAAGAAATCTACAAAGAATGTAGAAACAGAATTTTATAATCCTTTAGGACCAACATTTGGCAAGTAATTAAAAAAAAAAAAGAATACACTGAAAAATACTTTCTTTAATATTATACATCAGGCACAACACTTTTTTTTTTTTGTTATAAGATTTCATCTGCATAAAAGGCTTGTAGGACCAGCAGGTGCCGGATGTCTCCTCGCCTGCGAAAGCCGGATGGTTTCAGCTCCTGCGCTCTCTCCTCCGCTCCCATGGGGAAGGCGATGGGGACCCGGAGGAGCCCCTCAGATGCTGAGGTCGGTGCTGCACTCCTTGTACGGCCGCCTGCGCTGCTCGGGCGGGTGCCTGCGGCTCGGCTCGTGCTTCCAGCTGGGGTCTTCCCTCTCCCGGTGGCCGACTCGCTCCTCCCTGAGCCGTCTGTCGGGCGACCTCTCCCTCCGCCGGTCAGACGACTTGGCCCGCCGGTCGAGGGAGCTCTCTCTTCTCCGGTCAGGCGACCTCCTCGGCTCCGTGAGTCTCTCCAGCGACCGCCGGCGGCGGCTGGGCGACCGCTCTCTGCGCCTCTCAGGGGAGAGGTCTCTCCTCCTCTCGTGTCGCTCCCGCCTCTCCAAAGTGTTGTCAGCGCTCCTCGTTCCTTCCCTCCGCTTTTCGGGAGACCTCCTCTTCTGCCCGTTCACCACCGCCCTCTCCGGCTGCCTCTCGTGCCTCCTCTCCGGCGACCTCTCCGTCCTCCTGCCTGGCACGTGGTCGTTGGTTTTAGAAGTCCCATTCCAAGTGTGGTGTTCATTGGGATGTCTGCTAAACTCTCTGCTGCCTTTTAGGTCTCTAACGTAAGTCCGCTTGTCCCCATGTTGTGATGATTTGTGAAGGTCTGGTGGATAACTGGACTCCGATGATGGGTACTGCCGTCGGTCTGATGGCACGGGTTTCATTTCCGATACATTTTGTGAACCTGTGGCGGGACTGTTCCTGTCACTGCTGGGGTCTGAAAGAAAATAATAGCAAAGCGTTTGGTACCGATGCCTTCCGCGGCGCCGTGACACCACTTATCACTCTTCAGACTTCATTAGTGACAAAAGCAAACAACTGTTAAAGCAGTCAGCGAAGGCTAACCAAAGCTTTTGTTAATTTAACTGCGAACAACGAGAGTTACAGGTTAGTACTGGTGCTGCTCTGTTCGTTAGCCGTGTTTTTTTGTCCAAGCCGATATCATCTTTATGCTCTTCTTGTCATGGGGCGTTTTACATTTTCCCCAAGCCCAATTCATAATGTTTCGGTTACACTACTTTCTTTCCAGTGGGAAAAAAAAATTGTAGTTCGGGTTGTTGGCTGTTTTTTTAACAGTTTCCAATAAAGAGGGCCTTTAGGAAACAATATTTTTCTTTTAAGTCTTTGGAAAGAACTGCCTTCCAGGTGTGGGAGGCCTTGTTTCAAATATCAGAAAATGTACAGAAAATAGAATTGATTATTAAGTTTTCACCTCGTAAAATAACATTTTGAAGGTGTGAGAATTAGACTGTAATCATGCAATTTCCATTTCATTTAAGACATTACTTAATCTCACTTAGTTCTACCATGTTATGAAAAGTCCTAGGGTAGATTTTGGTTTTGCCACAATGATTTGAACAACGATGACAGAAGTTATGATTTTTTCATATCAAAGCAATGGAAAGATATTGTAATATGTAGGATGGCTTTGATTAAAACCTAATCTCCAGTTCATTATTTGTAATGTAGTATTTCAGGTAAAATACAGCTGAGCTACCTCTGTGGGACAAACTGCAAAGCAGAAGGAAAAAACCAACCCCAAAACTAAAAACCAGCCCTGCGCTGTAGCTAAGCTACAATTACTCACGTCATTTGTAACGGATGTTTATGAATCATTCATTATAGGCACGGCAAACATTAAAGTAACGCTGGCTTAATGCGAGCGTTGCTTTTATTTGCTTATTGTTTTATTTGCTTATTGTTTTATTTTTTAAAGTAACTTCTGCACGGCAGCTCGGCTGGCGTTAGCTAAGCTTCCTGCAGGCTTCCTGCCGCTCGCACCGAGACACCCACCTCGAGGTGGACTGTCCTGATGGCAACAGCTGAAAACCCTCACAAACACTTGTGGGGACAGATTTTTTTTTTCTGTTTTTCTCCTTTTTGTCTTCCCTCCCCCAAGCCAAACACTCTACATGCTCATTCCTCCTGCCATCACGCAAAGCGTCTCCCATTTGATGGCATTTCCATTCCTTAGCTTGGGAAGGTCGGTGTGTGCACGGGCCATGATTTTTGTGATTTCCAGGTGAAACACGTTGCGACTCACGTGTGTGCATTTTTGCTTATTAGTATTTTCAGGCAGCAGCTGGGGACCACACTGCTTTTCCGTAGCTGTAAGCACGTGGCTTGTGGCAACCTGGCTATCGCACAAGGTACAAGTGAGGTTTAAATGTGTCCTGTGGTGTACTTACAATTCAGGGGACGCAGGGTGCTCGGAATGAATTGCTGTACATATAAAATATAGCGAAGCGGAAAGCAATGTGAGGGAATTAGGCCACAGCACAAAAACACCTAATATTGATTTTAGCTACAAACCGTAGTTTGATTATGGCCCATAAGGTAGAAGCAAGACTCCCCGAGCTTGTCATTTCTCATACATGCAGCGATATTAGGAGGTATCATCGCTGAGGAAGGAAGAGCCCAGCACCAAGAAAAGTGAGAGAAAGAGAAAGAGAAAAGTAGAAAATTTAGATTCCCTATAACAAAGATGAAAGAAAGAAAAATCTTCATATTTTATCTTAGAATAAAGAAAGTTTATTTTTCCAGTCAGATTGTCTAGGCTTCACCCAAATATAAGGCTGCAAAGACAGCAGTTGTTATTATCGTGACATAAAGAGACATCTAAGAGGTGATTCAATAACCCAGACAACGAGAGCATCCATTCTAAAAGACAGCTGGAACAGTGACACAGAATGTCATAGAAAAAACATTAACAATCAAACAACAACGAAAAATAAAGTCCACCAGAGACCACAACATTAAAAATAAGTACAAAACTCATTACAAAAATATACAGCCTCATAGAGAAGCACGTTCCAATCAAGTCAGAAAAATATTGGAACTTAACATTATTAGAGGAACCATTTGCGACTGCAGCGAACAGAATGAAGAGAGGAAGGAGTCCCAAATGTTACAAGGATATTCTTTACAGTAGTGCAACCCCTGTATATTAAATCCTTGCTTGGAGAATGAACGTTTAGTGGTTTAGCATTAGCCAAAAGAAAATTGGTGGTGGATTTCCATCCTCAGTGCAACAGACATATGCTTTGAGAAGTGAAGCACTTAATTTACAGGGTACTTATGCAGTCTAGCATATGATACAGTACTGTACATCCAAAGGAGTATAGGAAAAGACAAAAGTAGAAAGAACATTACAGAATTTCAGTGCCATCATTGAACCTTCTGGTGTGCTATTTATATTACAGAAGTGTAAACCCACAACTTCCCTTCCATATTGTTAAACACTTCAATTGTTTGTTGGTTATACTCTGAATTGGTCATTTTAAGTTAAATAATGAGCAGGGTGAGCAGAAACTCTCAAACATGGTACAGTAAATGAAAAGAAAATCTAGTTCATAAATTGTGCAGAAGGGTTTGTTTCTGGTTTTAGGACACGGAGTGAGTGATAAACACAGAACTTACTGACACAGAAATAACCCAAATACAGGGAGAAAAGTATAAAGGACATCCCTTCAATCATCAGTTTCTATAGAAACCTCAAAGACCTTTGGTTGGGAGTAGCCCTCCATCGAGGGCACAATATTCGACAATTATCTCAAATAAATAAGACATAATTATAATATTAAATAGTGTGCTAAGTTAAGCCACCCAGCAATCCAACCTCCAGGGGAAGAAAAGGAAATCTAATGCAATTCTTAGTAGGAAACAAGGACTGAATGTTTCCCCCAAGACAGACACGAGAGCACCTTTTCGTAACCTCCTCACCTTTTCAGACCTTACAAATTAACTAGTTGAAAACAGCAGACAGTTTAAGGGGGGAGAAAAGGGCTCAGGAGGCCAAATCAATATATTTTTGCAGTAAAGCTTTTTTTTTTTTCCTTCTTTTTCTTAAATAACTTTATAAATATTTACATAAATATTAAGGAAATGCAACTAAGAGAAAAACCTAACAAAAAAAATCACTGCTTCAGAATAATAATTCAGGATTCCAGTTTTTGCATTGATTAGAAGTAGAGACCTATTTGAAACAACAATTCAGCCGCTGAGAAACAAGTTTGGCACAGTTCAATGACATTCCTTGTTTGGCTGGACAAGACAATAAGGGTTTTTTTTTGTTTAGTTTTGTTTTCCTCTCTGATCACCAAAAATACTGCTATGATGATCTTGCCTTACACTGCGCCCCAAGTCCATGGAAGCAAGCAAAGGATGAAATGTGTAGAAAATTCAGCACAAGCGAGGCAATTAACCATATGTTGCAAAGGTTGGTAAGACACTGGTGAGAAAGGAAAATAAAAAAGAATTCCCGCTTCAGATCTTGAGACAAATCATTCATGGAGTGATGCCAGGGAAGAAAGGAATGTTTTCATAGTTTGACCCACCATATTCTGGGACAGAGCCATCTCCACGTTTCAGAAACAGGCGGACCCTGCGGCCACCGTTTTTAATCAGTTCGATGGCCCGAGCATGCTTCATGTTCTTGGTAGTTTCTCCATTGATCTCTAAGATTTCATCACCGATCTGTCAATGTAATTAAAGAAAAAAGTCTGAGATTAGAAACAAGTCCCCACGAGGGTCACCACCAACACAACACAAGACAACGGCCACAGCAAAGGTGGAAGAAGAACTATGCACCAGGTGAAGCTAAATATACCCAACTCCTTCTGGTGGCAGCTCACAAAAGACAGTATGCAGGGGCCTGGGAGACACGAAGACGACAGGGAAAGCTTGAGATATCAAAAAATTTCATTGCTGTTCTGTAAAACCACCTTGCATTATTGTATTGCTCAATACCTAGACCTGTGTTAGAACTGGTGTTATTTTACTTTATTTTGATTATTTGTAAAGTCTTCGGTCAAAGTGGTTGTTTGCTTTATAGTCTGCTGTAACTGGGATGTTCAAATAGCTTTTTCAGGTCTGTTTCTCACTTGGATATAGATACATACCTATGAACCAGTAAACCTGCTTTTGTAAATATAATCATTTATCAGGATAGGAAAACAGGGCTTGGAAGAGCTTGTCAAAGCATTGGCTTCCACAGGGCAGCACTGATTTATTTTCATCAGCAAAAATTTTAGACCTATAAATCTACTGCTAGCAAAAGAATTTTGAAAATGCCCTTCGTGTGATATATCTGGAGAAGGAAAAGACATATGCTGTAAAGTTATCATGCATTCTCTAAGAGAGGAGCAAGGAGTACATAAAACTCGCCAATTTAATTTTTCTATCGGCATTTTATAACACGTCCTTGTTATGTTTATAATTTAGATCATACATGAAGTTAATAGTTAATACTAATAAAAAACTACACTATAATTTTGGAATCCATGGGTTGGTATACATGCTCCCTCACCACTCTACCCCCCAGCAGAGGAGAGGATCAGGTGCGACACCCCAGTTCTCTACTCATGGCTCCAGCTTTAAAGGCGCTGGCAAAGATTGCAGCTATTACATTTTTGTTGCTACACATATCTTTGTTAGGCTTTAAAAGTCAAATTATGCATTAGAATTTGGAAACGCAGGTTGGAACAAGGGGTGAAATCTTCCAATGCAGGCATACTGTTATAGACTGTATACGAAGAGTGACAGAAGCCATTGACAGAAGTAAATAGGAACCACTGCTCCTTTCAGTTAACATTTAATTTTCCTCTTAGCTGACACAGCAGAAGGTGTGCCTGTAGGGGAGAGGCAGGGAAGTCAGCTTATTGCAAAGATGTGTGTTTTTTAAATCTGTTTGTGCATACCCTCATCTTCCCACATCTCTCAGCTGGACCATCTTCGGCTAGCCGCAACACATACAGATCCATATTATACTCCCGGCCACCTCGCAGGCTAAAGCCAAATCCTTTGGCTCCTCTTTCCAGCTCAACAGTGTAAAAGTCTTGGTCCTGCTGGAGGGAAGACAACATATGCGCGATTGAACAGAAAGTTAAATGCTGCTCTACTCTCATTTTCAAATTATTCAACCAACGAATATTATTATTTTTTCATTACTCATAACTAAAAAAAGAAAATCAGTTGAGTTTTCGTACACAGACTAGGATTTCCTGCTTCCTCAGATCCCACCCTGCAACTTGGAGTGCCGGCGGTGGTCCGCAAAGGGCTGTTGGGACGAATGGGCTTGGCCGTGTCCCATGTATTTTTAGGCACCTCTGTTATGTGACACCTCCTGTGCCCAGGGCCAAAAGACACATTTCTGGAGGGTCGTTAGCGTTCTCCCAGCTGCAAAGGAAGGCTAGGGCGACCTCATTTCCAGTGCCAGGCTTTAGTGAAATGTTTAATGGTACATGGCACAAGTCTATGCCATGGTGCTGGCTTTTCCTTTTTGTTAACACCTCATCTATTCCTTTGCAAGAAGCTCAGAAGTTCGTGCATTGTTTTTCACAAACGCTGTCAGCGTAGGGAAGTTTTGAAGTCTGTAATGGAAGAGGTTACTTCTGGGATGGCCAGTGGCAAGGGAAGTTAACAGTAAGACAGATAATCTCTCTAATAAGATGCTGTCTGTGAAAGCTGGAACACTCCAGCTATTGCCCATTATTAAGTTTTCCTCTTTGTTCTCTGAATTTATCACTTGCACACAACAGTACTTTCTGGAGAGGCCCCTCAAAATATACAATTCAATAAACAAACACAAAAATTATTACTGTCGTAAAAACGTCAGCTTTTTTTTTTCCGTTTTTTTTTGTTCTCCCTAAAAGTCTTGCTGAGAATGTGTTGGAAATGTTTCTCAGCTGAAACAGCAGCAACACATATTAAGAAACTAATCAGCAAATTCCTCTTTCTTCAGCAAACAGACTGAGGGAGAACAGCTTCCCAGTAGGAATTTTCAAGGGAAATATTTGAACACAGCCCTCAAGCAGACTGGAAGCAACAATCTGTGGTAAACAAAACAATTAGAAAGGTACTCCTTACCTGTGCTGCTTGGGGTGGTTTGAAATCAAACTGGGATTCCTGCTTTGGTTTGGTGTTGCTCCTGCTGTAATGAATGAGAGAAAGAGGGAAAGATGGGATGTGAAGATGATCAAGAAGTAACCAAAGAGAGAGCATGTCAACATGCTCTCCTCAAGGAAAACAATCTGACCTGGTCTCCTGTGGTATTTGCTGAGGAGTATGTGTGGTTGTAATTGTAGCAATTTTTTCTGCATTGGTCAATAAAGTAGCATTGGAGGATTCTGCAAAATAAATTTTTTTTCATTATGACAGAAGACTATTGGCTATTCACTGACAAAACAAAGTTTTACAAAGGCATTTCACTGGAAAGCATCATTATGTTGTTTTTAAAGAACTTGAGATTGGCTCAAATTTCTTAAATCCAAAAATTAACAGAATAAAGTCTAAGCTAAGTCATAGTAATTATCTATATGAAACTGTACAGCACCTCAGTTGCAAAGAAATATTGACCTTTGAGTTGCCCATTGAAACTTAACTTTCCTTCAGCTTTTTTCTGGTATCTGTCATCAGATGTACCAAATTACTGTGTAATCTGTTTTTCTTTTTTGTAAGAGAAAAACTTCTAAACACCCCTAACAAACTAAGAAACACTGCCACATAACTGCTGCTGCTGTATCCTATACTCTTGAAAAAGTAAAGGCTTTAGTGAAGGCATCATATTTAGCTTAATCATCGTTGCAAAAGTTAATTAGCAAAAAACGTGCATACCAGAAACTGCCACAGCTACCCAACACAAATAGTGTAGAGCAGGGAGTCAAATATTTATATATATTTATACTATATATAGAGAGAGAGTATATTTTTATATATCTATTTATATAATAAATACACAAATGAGAAGTTTTTTTCAGTAACCAAATACATCAGCACTCTCATTAACCTCAAGAAAAACCCGAGGCCACTCAATTGGAAAAAGAAAAAAAAAAATATTGGGAAATCTGGATTAGAAACATCTCTGCCCTTTAGACATACCCAGAACAAAGACTGACTTGTGGAGGAAAGGTTGAAGAATATTTTGTCTGTTGTCTAATGACATGAATTCCAATCATTAAAGTCTCCAAATATGGTAGCTTGACTGGATTAATTTTATAGTAGTAATAACTATTCCATGGATTATAAGCTTATCAGTGCTTCCTCCATCAGAAACTTCAATCTTCAGCAAGACTGAGATGTGGCTTTTATCTAAAACCTCACAAGGTGATATTGAATGTGGCTAAAACCCAAACTTCCCGAAATCCGTCTTTGAAATACAACAGACTGCTGCCTGAGCACTCAAAGCTGCATGCAGGGACATGGAACCACTGTACCAAATGCATCAACAGCTCTAGGTACCATTTACAAAAGGGCTCGCCAAGAGAATACAGAGAGGAGGATTAACTTCGAAACTCAATTTATGCCATGGCAAATGGCCCTCAGCCCAACACCAGCCTGGGCACACACCATATTTCTCTATGTACAGAAGGAGGTGATTCCAGGAGAGGTCCTCTCTCCCGCTTCACAAAACTGGGAAGGGACTTGCTGTAGGCATAACTGGAAAGGGACTATCTAGGTGTCCCTCGCAGCGTGGCATGGCAAAATGGTCCCCTTGTCATTTTGGAGCTTTATCATAGACTTCAATAAGACCAGAGCTAACGCAGAATTCATTTAAAATTCTGCCTAAAATTAAGGTCATGCACCTTGTTTCTTGACTGAATTTCTCTAGTTCCAATCCCACTTAAAAAAAGCTACCATCAGACAACTGCAATGAAAACCGGGTGGAAACATCTGGTTTTCCAACATAAAATTACAAGGTCTTCTACCCTGCCCTTGTTTGCCTCTTAAGCTCCAGGCATCTGGTAATTCATTTTATTGACTACGGAGAAATCTGCCATTATTAAACAGAGTCCAGCTGTAATACAAAATTGCAGAAATGGGAGGGGTTTTGCCTGAATTAAGGAGAGGTGGTATTCATGGGCTTACTTGGTCCCGGGAACCTATTTTATTTCATGGATTTATTTTAACTGCGGACATATCTAGATGAGGTGAAGATTTTTCCTGTCTGTGCATGTCAAGGGAAACTCAGGAAAAGGGAAAGAAAAAAAAAAGAACCATCCAAACAGATGCGTGCAACGAGAGCACAGCTCCTTTGCCTGCAGCACTGTGCCCAAACCCTTCAGCATATGGAGATGTAACGTCTTCCAGACCAGAGCTGGCTTGTGTCCGGTGGCTCAGAGAGCAAGAGAAGCTCCTGGGTCTGCCTGCACCTCTCAGGGTAGGCATGAGCAAAACATGCCCTTGTGAAAGAGAAAAAGAAGAACCATCCAAACAGATGCGTGCAACGAGAGCACAGCTCCTTTGCCTGCAGCACTGTGCCCAAACCCTTCAGCATATGGAGATGTAACGTCTTCCAGACCAGAGCTGGCTTGTGTCCGGTGGCTCAGAGAGCAAGAGAAGCTCCTGGGTCTGCCTGCACCTCTCAGGGTAGGCATGAGCAAAACATGCCCTTGTGAGGATGCGCCACTGACAGCTGGCTTGTGTGAGGAGACATCCCTATGTGTGGTTTAAGGGTTGGATTTTAAGAAATAATTCTGTGTATTTTGGAAAGATGCCTTGATGCTAAAATTGGTCTCCAACATAAGAAGGCCCCAAAACATGGTTAAGTGTTCTGTATTCATCCAGAACAAAAGCCTCTGAAAACCCCCACAAATATTTGGAGATCAGATGAAGATGGGCTTCAAAGAGAATGCAAGATTCCTACCCTTTAGTAGGGCACACTAAGAATACCAAGTAGAGCAACAACACATCTTGGTACAGATGTATCTTCATGCCACTCGACTGTATCTATCTTTAGCCCACCCTATCCCATGAGTCAGGAGTTGTGCATAATTTTGCTAGTTTTTTAGACACTCGTTCAGGGTGCATGCCAGCCATCATGCAAAACTGGAACAGAACACAAATATAGGAAAAATTACCTCTAGTAGAATTACGATTTTATGTTCTAAATCCTAAATAATTCATTGATTCCTTGCCCTGTTCTGCCCTAGAGCACTCAGACACCAATTAAATGCCTAATCTAAGCTTGTCATTTTTCAGCTCTCTGTATCCTTGCATCAGCTAGTGGTATGTGAAAGCATCGTAATTTCAGTGCAAATGCACTCCTGTAGTGGTCTACGGCAATGAGTTGGTGCAAGACTTATTACACAGCAAAAGCCCTTGGTGTTTTTAATAATGTTAGAAGAGATTAGCAGTGTGAGTTTATTGTGAGTCTTGTGCTGAGCCTTAGTTTCATGTATATCTGAGAAGCATGGCTTCTGATGTATTCTTTTTTTCTCCCCTTTAAGTGCACTGTTAGACCATTTATATTTACCAAAAAAGCACCCCAAAAGCAACAAAAAGAAAGCAACAAACCAACAAAAGCACCCAAAGACAGCAAAAAGAAAACAACATTGAGACCAATTTCTTAAATCTAATTTTTTTAGAGCAAACCTCCCACCAATTTTGAGAGTGTCTGGTCTTACCGGCTTTTGGAAATTAAATGCAGGTAATTCTATGCAGAGTTGGCAATCTGACTTGGAATTTCAAAGGGACAGTAAATAAACAGACTCGAAGCCTGCATTGCTATGAGAGAGAACAGTTGACTCCTTCCCTAAATTACAGCTTTCCACCTTCTCTAGGAATACCTGATGTCAGTCACAGGTATAGATTTCCCCTCTAACCTAAGCAATTTAACATGATATTTTGTACCCATATTTGCATGAAGAAGACTGGCTGAGCATTCACATCAGGAGGCAATATTCTTCTTAAAAAAATTCTTAAACCATTCAAAAGTTATTTATTTCTTAGGTATTTTTGCCTTTTAAAAAATATTTATTTATATATTTATTCAAAGATTCACCTTCCTTGATTTTGATCAGATACCAAAATACAGGTAATGAACAATTCTTCTCCCAGTTTACCTTCCAAAACTGGCAGGCACAGGCCAGCTCAGATGTTAGCCTGATTCTCAGCCATTTTACTATTCATGAACACTCAATTTGCTGGAAGCAGTGAAGGATCATATACCATTTGACCTGGTAGCTACTAAACAGTAGGAAAATAAAGCCTTTATGCAAAACAGATCATCCTAAACAGAAATAATGTATAACCAGATCATTTCTCATCCTGGCCTATTTTTATCCTATAACTAAACATAGCATAATCATGCTCTGTGGGGTAAACAAATCCATGTTTTAGATTAGAAAGTACGAGAGTTAGCAACTACTGAATGCTTCTCACTGGAAATCACATCATGCAACTTCTTCATTCTGCTTTACAAGTATCAGGTTCAATTCAGCCATACTTTCTCAGCCTTTCTTTCAAACTTAATCACGCTTTCTCTATATTTAACTGAATGCAAATCAAGTTCTGTACAACTCTAAGAAATGCTCATTAGCACTGTATCTGAGCCATCAAATCTTATACCCATGGCTTAAAAAGAGAGCAATGTAAAAAGATTTCTGCCTAACGAGTTCTCACTATGAACCCATCCATGGCAGAGCAGGACAATGAACAAACAAAATACTTTTAGAATTCAGAACCACAGCAATTGCAGTTCTGCTACAGATACTTTACATACGTTTCTGCTCTGTTCCTATTTGGCATCACAGCTAGGGATCAGTTGAATGAAACCGATATATAACACAGATCCTTATTTTTATTAAATAGTTCAATGACCTGAAACCAGTACCAAGTGTCAGCATGTTATTAGGGATCCTGCACGTTCCCTCTGATCTGAAACAGTGAGATCCTATCTAGGGTAACTCTTACAACGATCGGCGGCAAGCCCACAGCAGCTCCAGAGCCATCGTCATTTAACAAAGTCATTTCAAAATATACTGAGCTCGCTCCCAAAGCAACTTACCCAGAATAAAAACAAATCTTCTTTTCAAACAGCTTAAAACATAACAAAGTGTTTATCCCTTTCTGTGATCTCTTTACTCTATAGCCTGCTTGTGTCTATACAAAGCTTCAAGAACCCCACATATTAACATGTGATTCCCAAATATTCTAAAGCTGCATTATTAATCTAAGAATCAAACCAAAGTGTACTGAGATACGCATTAAATTTAGAGAAGATCATTTTAAGCAGATACGTGGAGGAACATGATAGAATGGAATATTATTTTTTTAATGTAGAATCAGCATCTCCCTGTTTAAAAAAAGAACTCCCATTTCTATAGAAAGAAATAAAAAATAAAGCTATGGAAAACTCACAACCTCCCTCACTGCTAATTCCCAAAGTGGGAGTGGAAATTGAGTCCTCCATGCTTTTGCAGCAACAAGTGATGCAAAAAGCCCGGGAACAAAACCAACAAGAGGGTCAGATAAGACAGCAGGAAACATATACTTTACCATCTCCTGGAATGATGCGCAGGGTAACGGTGTTTCCCGCTTCCTTAATGAGGTTGACGATGTCTGAATGTGACTTGTTGGTGATGGAGCACCCATTCACAGCCAAGATCCGATCGCCTACTTTCAGCTTGCCACAGCGGTCTGCGGGACTCCCTTCAATTATCCGACCTATTTTGTGAGGCATGGCCACACATGCATTTCCCGCTTTTGTATTGGTTTGGGGGTTGTTTTTGTTTTGTTTTGTTTTGTGTTTGTTTTTTAATTGTTTACATACGTGGGAATATGGTGAAGGGGAAAAGGAGAAAAAGGGTTGAAAAGGGAAAAAGGTTAAGGGTTAATTAATTAATGCATCAAGCAAAAGTTATTATAGGATAGCTTTGCTGCCAGTGTTCAAAACATTGGCAATCAACTAGTACGAGTGCACAATACTTCTTTTACAAAGAGGTGTTTTGTTAATCACTCAAAACTCCCCCCACCTTGATTTCTGTTAATAAATGGTGAGATTTTTATAGACTACAACTGCACTTAGCAGCCCCATCATAACCCAAATCCTGATTTTATTTTTGAACCGAAAAATTGAAACTGTTTGTAGAAAACACAACCTTCCTCCTCCAAGGTTACATCAGTGTCAGCCTCTCTAGTCTTCCTCTAAGTCAACTGCTGTTCAAGCTTCTGCCAATGTTTTGTTCTTTCTCGATTTAGAAAGAAAAAAAATTGTTCTAGGCCCAGGAGGGAGTGCGACTCCCTTTCTACCACGAAGACCCAATCTATCAGCGCTGCATGGGGAAGCAACACGAAATCGTTTTCTTCCATCGTGAATAAAGGTACTACCAGGGAAGATACTGGACCACTACAGATGGGCCAAGACTGACAAAGGTAACCTGTTTGGTGCAGGCATCCACCTCAGCCTCTGTTAACCCTTCCCCTTTTATGATCTTAGATGGCATCGGGATGGGAGCAGGGCAGGAATAAGGACCTCCTCATTTAAATACCTCTAAAACCACACACAAAACAACTGAGATGTCTGACACACAGAGCAAGAGCACTTCAGGATGAATGTATTTTGGAGACAAAATTCTCCTCCTGTTTCATGCAATTGTCTGTCCCAAAAACACAGGGTTGTCCATAAAAGAACTGGGACACAGGAGATACACAACTTCACTCAGATAAATCCACTGGGCTTTTGTATGGCTTCTTTACATGGGCAAGAGGCCGTCAGGCACACAGCATGTGATTACAACCATGAGGTATACAGAGCGGTCATCTCATACTTCGCACCCACAATACATTCACCCTCAAGATGCACTTGCCCATCTGTTGTGTAGTCTTTATTTGATTAGTAGTTTTAGAGATATCCATTGCTGCACACATGACAAAATTAGAAAGACCATAAAGAAGAAAAGGCTAAGAAAAGGAATGTGAGGTGAGAGAACAAGGTTGGAAAGATGCGATGAGAACTGGCAGAAAGCATTAATATTAGTTGCAAACAGTAAGGGGATTTTTTTTTTTTTTCTTCTTTTACTGTGATATTAGAAAGTTTCTGTTTCTGGTAATACAAAGCCCCATCCAGCTTAAAGGCTGTTTTGAGGGCATGAGTTCCTACTCTATCCAGTCCACTGAACACAGATGACAGAGCCCACACCAAAGTGACCAAGGTGGGTTTTAGAACCAGTTTGGCCCATCTCTAAATACTACCCATGAAAGAAAAAAACTACAAAGCAGGTCCAAAGCAAGCACCACGCAGCAGAAGGCACACATCTCATGCAGAGTATTAGGAAAAAGCTGAATACAATTGAAAAAAATTAAAGGAAAAACAGTCACAGATGAACAGATCTCCATGAGGAGCCCCTGCACAGAAAACTTCCAGTTAGCGAGTATCTTGGGCTAAAGCAAACACAACTCTTTACAACCTCAGGTCAAGCTTTCTCTGCAGAAAAGAGTTAGAGCATAGTCTTCATACAGTAAAAGTTATTTACACACATGTTTGCAAATACTTTCAGAAGATAAAAGCTCTCTCTCCAGTTTGGACTGAGTTCAGTTTAATCTATATTACATGACACCGTCGTGTTCTGGCACCAAAATACCTATTCTGGAAGAGCAGTTTCCAGCAGCAAGGACAGCGTGAGGTAGCCTAGCACCTGAGAACTGACAGAACTCGATGCACCGGGTCCATACTAGATATTTCCCCCTTGAAATCTCTGCTGCCATGACTGCCCAGAACAGTGTTAGAAATGGCCCATGCTACATCAATACCAGCAAAGGAGATGATGCTCCATAGATTTATTAGCAATGGCACTGCTGATGGGCAATGGCAGGAAATTTCAGAGAAAAAAGCCTAGAAAAAAAAGGGGGAAAGGCCACTTCTTGCCACATGCACCTGCACACCCCAGGAACAAGCTGTACAGGGAGACTGCAATGTATTCTGTCTGCAAACCACAACCCTGCGCTGAGAGGAAGCATGCAGATGGCCAGAGCACTCGTTCTGTCTTTCCTTTCCCCCACCATCCCTACCACATACCACAGACTAGCAGGGAAGAAACACCTTCTTTTCCCCCACAAAGTATAAGTGAATGCTGCCTCTAGCCCTTTTGGAGGAGATGGAAAGGGAAGAAAATAGCATTTCTGACTGGTTTCCCCCTTGCAATGGCATTTCTGCTCTAGAGCAGGCTGTTCTGTGCATACCTGCAGAACCAGCTTATGTACACCCCTTTTGCAGCAACACCTGGAAATGGGTGTCTGCCTAGCAGAAAGGACTGTCCTCAGACAGAAACCATGACCACTTCTATTAGGGCAGGATATTAAGTGTGACATCGCATGAACTTCATTCCCCCCTTACTCTGAAGAAATGGATTTGGGAAGAGGTGGAATGGGTAAAAAAAACCCCACCCTGTTTTTTTAGATGGTATTCCCCATTTCATGTCTCACCAGCAAGCACTATTAATTAAAACCTTCCAGCTATCAGCATGCTCGCTCCATAATGAGGATCAGAATAACCCTGATTGCCAAAGAGAAGTTAATCAGTTTAAGCATTACTGCTTTTAAATCAACGGGCTCAATTCCCCCATCAGGAGACATATTTCATTCCACCTGCTCCATTTCTGCATTAGCAAAGAGCATTGCTGGGGGGATCCCCGGCTGCTCTTCTCAGAGCAAACCCCAGAAAGGCGTCCAGCTAGCAGGGAGAGCTGGAGCTTCAGGGAGCATCAGGAATGGCCACTGGTAGCATTTTTGCTCTTCAGGTTGGGATTTCTCATTTTGCTTTTCTCGACTCAGTGCTGAACAAAACCCAGGAGGCAATCACCTACCAAGTCTTGGCCTCCGATTAAGCTATTAATTAGGGAATGCTCACAACTTTTAATTAAACGGATCCCCACTTGCCTCCTTGCACTGCAGCACTCAAATCTGCATCTCATTCGAGGTGCACTGGAAACACCCCAAGACTTACCGAATGTTGTTCCCGCCTCTGGCCTGCTCACTGATGAGACGATGACGAAGCCGAAGCCCTCGTTTTCACCGCGGCGGATTTCCACATCGTAGGGCTGGACCACGGTGCTGACGACACCGCTGCCCCCGCCACCACCGCTGCCGATGCCACTGGTGCTGCCGCTGCCCGAGCTGACAGTGTTGAGGGAGTTCTGGCTGCCCTGCGGCGTTCGCTTCTCCTCCGTCAGTGAGGCTGGCTGGTTGCTGCTGTGGTGGGAAGAGGCTGGAGACGGGACTTCATTCTCTGCCTTGGGAACTGGGGAGTTAAAAAAAGACTGTCTGAGCAAGCTGCATCATTTAGTGCTTGAAAAGTACCATCCACTGAGAAAAATGTAAAAAAATAAAGCAAAACACCTGCTTTAATCTACAAATTGTGGCCAGAGAGACCAAGGGCTCTGTCTCCTTTCGGATGTCACCACCAACAGCTCTGTTCGGGGATGGCACTGACCACACGTGCTCATCCTCTCCACTGTATCATCACGCAGCCAAAGCCTTTTGCTGCCGAACTACAGCAGCAGTATGGTTAAACCAGTGCAGCGCTGCATGCTTGGATGCTCTGTGGCATTTTAAACCTGGATTACATTAGTTCAGAGGTGCCTCCTTTAGATATCACATCCCCACTTCAACTATACATGTGCAACCATGTATATGTGCACAATCCGCAAGGAGAGAAATATCAAATACCCATCACTCAACACCCATGTCTTTTTTAACTAAATGCTATCAGTTGGGTTGCACTGGTTGCCTTTGATTAAAGTGATCTTAAGTAATAATAACCACCTATACTAAAGCAAAACAACTTGTGAACCAAGCTTTTCTGGATGGAAGAACCAGCAACTATCATCTGTACAGTCTGGCACAATTGATGGGAAACCATGAAACATTATTAACATTAACATTAATATTAAACAAGTGCTTAACAGCAACTGAAGCTGGAAGTAGTATTAGTTTAAAATCTAATCAGCTACCACAGGCTTGAAGAAATCTCAAAAAATTTGCTTAGTCCACACTCCGCTCGAGTCAGGGCCAACTATACTTACTGTCAGTCCTGACAGATGTTTGTCTAATCTGCTGCTAAATATCTCCCCAGGCAATCTATTGGTTGCAATATCTAACTTAAATCTTCTCTGCTGCAACATAAGGCTATTATTTCTAGTCCTATCTAGCAGGCATATGGAGAACATATTATTCCCTTCCTCTTTGCAGCAGCCTCTTATAGTCTTGGGGAGTTTAACACGTCCTCCCCCTTCTCTGCTTTAGGCTAAACAATCCCAATTTGTTCAATATTTCCTTGCAGACCATGTTTTCTAGAGCTCTCCTTATTCTCGCTGGTCCTCTGGACTCCCTCCAGTTGGGCTCTCTCCAACTCAAACATGTCTTTCTTGAAGTGCTGGACCATATTGCAGCTAAGCCATCATCTGCTGGGAAATCAGGAGAGTTCCCCCCTGCCTACATCCCAGCACAGTGTTTTTCTTCACCTGAGCCAACCTCAGGATAAAGCTTGTGGCCCACAATAGCTTCCACTTCTTGTTGCTCAGCCTGTTCTCCGCAGCCCATTTGCGCAGCTGAGAGCAGCATACTGCACTTGTCTCTGCTGAACGCCTGCCTCCACTAATCAGATCACTTCTCCAGTTTGGTGAATCAAAATTAAGTTGAAGATCTTAAAAGCAACAACAAGAAAATGGATGCCAAACAAAATCTAAACCTGTAAACCCACGATCCAAATAAAAAGAACTTTAAAATATTCTTGGAAAGGAGTACCTGTCTGTGTTTATATACTCGAAGCATGTACTAAATATATAGTATTCTACATATTAAAAATGCAGGAGTATAAATGTTCCCTTATATGAATCTCAAGAAACGGAGTACCCATTTAAGTGAACGATCTTTTTCTACTGGCATATAGATGAGAGGAGGAATAAGGGACCAAAATTCAGGAAGAAGCTTCTCTACAAAGTTATGCTGGAATTTAAAAGCCTGCAAATATAAGGTGAAAGAAAGGGATCCTGAATAATTTATCCTAGAGTAAGTGCCCACATTTGAAATGATTCAGAAACAGCTCGGTCTGGAGTAACAAGCCCCTGAACGAAATATCAAGGGTTTTTATCGAGATCTCTCACGAATCTAAATCTTTTATGGTAATTTCCAGCCTGGAGGCTGTAAAACTGGACAGAAAATCTACACACAAAGACAATACCAAAATTCAGCTGCCCTTCCCCTTCCTCCCAAAGCTCATCTCCTAAACCTTCTCTCATGTTGGCAGCTCTTTGTAAGGAACGAGGAGAGACATAACCCAGCATTTAATCCACAATGGGAAGAAAGAAAGAAATGAGAAGTGAACATTTATTTAATATTGTGCAGAAGGAGCTCAGCCCTGGACAAGAATACAGAGCTATTTTAGAGGTACTGTTCTGGTCCTAACTTCTACCGTGGGCCTAATTTTCAACCTGAATGTTATTTTGATGTTCTTTAAGATTAAAGTACATCACTACTTATTTTTCTGCTGATGCCTAAACTTGAAAAGCTATATAATGTCCTTTCTTTTGAACAAGCGAGCTAAACTGAATCCCACACTCGAGCTCCCTCGAGGGACTCACAAGAAGAGGCAGCACTCCAGTGTTACTCTCCAATATCATGCATAAGGTCACACGCCATTTAGAAAGCTCATGCTTGTGTCTTCATTTTCTTTGCTATCAGGACATTTTTGTATCACTAACCTTGGTGCCACCAGGCAGTGTCACTTCTCTCTGCATCTTCGTCTTTCTGCCAGCTTCTTTTTTGTCCGTTTAGACCATACGCTTGTGCAGTGTGTGCACAACACCTAGCATAACGCAGCACGCAGAAACCTCTCTGTTACAACAAACACGCACACCCTGCACTACCAGAACCAATGACACCTACAGTTTTCCATCCTGCGGTTAGTTGACTACATGGTACAACCTCAGTTGAAGCTCCTCCCGTGCCTGGGACATTAGCCATCACACCCCAAAGCCCTCACTCGCTCCCTGCCCTTGCCTCCCCTCCTGTGGACTCTTCAGCCTCTTTTCCCTCCCTCCCCGTTTAAGGGTGGCTATCAGGCAGCACAGTTATTTTGGGAAGGAAACACAAGACACAGGCAGTCAGGCACAGTGTCTGTTGCTGCATGAGTCCACCTAAAAATAATATGTTGCAACTGAGCAGTTCCCCGTTTTATCAGAAACCTTCAAGAAGACTGGAGAAGCCAACTGAGAGTGTCTTGACTGGAAACAAAATATTTGAAACATTTGATCAAGAACAAAAAAAGACTAAAAACAGGCAAAAGAGGAAGAATAACACCACGTCCCCTGAGTTTTCCCAGTATTACAAGGAGGAGCTTTTGCTCTTTAAACGGTTTGCTGAACAGATGGAGTCTGGCAAGAAAATCTACCCCTGCAGAGCAACACTGCAACCTACCTGTGTAAACCACTTTGCGCCTGACGGTCAGATTGACATGACCTTGTTTGGCTGCCTGTTGCATAAGCTGGACGACAAGCTGGTGCGATTTCCCGACAACAGGTGTCCCATCCACGCAGATCAGTTCATCACCCGATCTCAGGCGGCCGTCAGCATCAGCAGCACCCAGCGGTACAATGTGACCGATGTAAATCTGATGAATTAGCACAAATAGGAGATAGGAAAGAAAGGAAGGAAAGAAAGGAAGGAAAGAAAGGAAGGAAAGAAAGGAAGGAAAGAAAGGAAGGAAAGAAAGGAAGGAAAGAAAGGAAGGGAGAAAGGAAGGGAGAAAGGAAGGGAGAAAGGAAGGGAGAAAGGAAGGGAGAAAGGAAGGGAGAAAGGAAGGGAGAAAGGGAAGAAGGAAAAAAAATAGCAATAAATGAGAATTAGCTCAACAGCTAGCTGGAAGCAAGGGGCACTGGTAGTTAGACCCAATTTAGCAGGGAAATTGTTGACAAATGTCTGCTGGTCAGGAAAGTTGCTCCTGTGAAAGCAGCTCCGTGTGAAAGCAGCTCCGTGTGAATATAGCCACATCATGAAATTGTAATAAATTGACATCTTGTTTCTTTAGGCGGTCCATTCACTCTAATGACAGACAGCCTTGGGAATGTGTTCAACCAGACAGTGACCAGAGAGGAAGATGGAGAAAAGCACTGGGGATCTTGTCAGGGAGGTTGCGATTGAGTTATCCTTTCAGTTGCCTCTAGGGTTTACAAGCTCTGTACCATTCAACCGTCCACTAACTTAGTCTTGGTTTATCTTCAGTGAGTTCTGTGGACTTACTCTAACATGAGAGAAATTCATGGCCTCTCTTTCCATAAATGAGTAAACTAATTTTGGCAGGGAAATATGTGGAAATTTATGCTGCCACTATGTAGCTTTGACCTGTGCAACACATGAAAGACCATGTGCTTTTAGCCTGACACCTTCCGCAGGCACTGGATTTATGGTAAAGAAGTTAAGCAAATTCAAGGAGGGAACTGAGCAAATAGAAAACCTGACACTCTAAGATCAAAATACTTGCAAACCTGATCAGGACATCCTTTCCTCAGCATCCAGGCGATTTCAGACCTCTGTTGTTTTCATTTGGGCTATCACAAAAACAGGGAATAGCAGGGGAAGCCAGACCCATTTCAGTTATGGGAGTTTTGGTTTGTTTTTTGGAGGGAGGGTGGGGAGGAGCCGTGGGTTGTAAATACATAGCCCACTAGTTATTTCAGTAGAGATACCATGGCGCAGTTCTGCACATCTGCACATGCTACTGCTGTGATTGTGGAAGATGTTATGAGTTAAAACAAGACCACTTCTAGATATACTCACAGGTTCTCCAGGCTCATTTCCACCTAGAATCCTAAATCCAAAACCGGTTTCCTTTCTCCATAGAAAGATATCCTGCTCTTGGTAATCTGGAACTAAAAGGAAAGAAGGAAAACTGTAATTTTTAATCAAAATCCCACACCTTTATACCCAAATCAGGACTACTCTGATGTACGTGTAGAGGGATCTGCTGCACAATTTTACTCTTTAAATGAGGCAATTTTGAATTTTTAGACATAACTAAGAAGATTTATAGGTTTAAATATTAAAGGACTATTATTTAAATCACTACTAAAAATTATACAGGGATTTCTACTTTCTAGGTGTCTAATTGTGACTTGCCATTTGTTTATCACTATAATATTTCCCTCCATCAATATTAGCATCATTACCCAAAGCAAGAGCCTCTTCCAAATCATCAATAAATAAATGTGTACAACAGAGAACCACTCTGCCAGAAACAATACAGCTGCCTCCTCTTTCATGGGAGACAAAAGAGACACTTGTTATGACTTCTACTGTGTAATTAACTTTCAGAAGCATAGTTTGCTATCTGTCTACTGACACTGCTTTAAATAACTATGGGACAGATCCCCAGTTGGTGTAAAACAGAAGGGCTCCATTGAAAGCTAAGCAGCATTCCTGACTCTTGCTCATGTACGGGCTCTGTAAAACCACTGAACAGACAAAACCAGCTGGCAACATAAAAAAGCTGAACCTTACCTATTCATTAGTATGGAACACCAGCAAGGTTTTTACAATGAATGTTACATACAGTGAAGTACTAACCTTGAAGTGCGGTTGAACAGTAATGTTTTGTATTAACTTATTCATGCTTGCTTTCATCCCTTTTTTAAAAATGCAAAATTAATTGCTAACATTAAATCGTATGAGAAGACAACTTCAGGTTCATTTAATATTTATTGGTTAGTACCTGTAACATTAACTAATTTTGTAATGATCCCCTCCCAAAATTTATAATTAATGATGAAAAAAAGCTGTTCCTTTACAAGTCAGCTGCCTAGATCTTTACTAAAGAAACCAAAGTATATCATTCAGGAATGTAATTTAAATAAGTGCATACTCAGATACAGGATGCAACACTTTAATCTAGTTTTCTGTATCTATGGGCAGATAAACTGGTTGTTTTCCATTGACATCTGTGAGTGTCAGACTGGGCCCTAATTGCATTTTACACTGTCGGTGCCTGTTGCGCAAAGGTTTGGGTCTAGTCATCTGGTGCTTTTCAGTGTTGAGACTTTTGGCTAGCTGTGATGCTCTCTCTTCAATGACTCAACAGGTTTAAAATATAATATGAATTTAAGACCTAGGAATACTAAAAATTAAAAGAACAGGTGAGTGCTAAGGCACAGATGTCTGCTTTGACATTTTGATTCAAACTGGTTCATACCCATGGGTTTTATATATCGTATTTTCACATTTTGATTACTTGCAGTTATAAATTAAGCTTAAGACCTATGCACAATACCTTACTGAACTAGAGGCTAATTTTTGTCCAGATACAATTACAGAATAATCAGGTGATGAACACGCTGGAAGCCTGCGTGGTTCATCTGTTCAGGCAAGCTGGCTGAAGGCAGCTTACCACCATACCGACGTGCGGCACAACAGCAGAACTTAGACAATGAATTAATTGGTGTTTGTCACTGCCTTCAGCGAGGGGGAGCATGAAGAGCAGACACGTTCAGAAGCATCTCCCCAGCACTTCGCAGGCTTTTTTGGCAAAGGCTGGCCCCAACCAATTAATAGCACGTGTTGGATCTGTCAGAGGCAAAATGGCTTCTCCAGAGAGCTTCAGCATGGGCTTGCTTCCTTGGCATCCCTCAACACCTTCCCATTTGTCAACTCTTCAGTGTCACTGAACAATGCCTTATGTTTCTGGTTCGGCTACCAGCTAGTCAATTAAAGGTCGCTGGAGGTAACGGCAAGCTGAGGTACAACGGTGGTGTTAAACCAAAGCAACAAAAAAAGACAAGTCTATACCCAAAGGAAGTAAGTTCATTCATGTAATGCTCCTTCCACTGGAAGGATTACAGAGAGGTGAAACACAGATACAACAAACATACAGACAACACACATTTACACAACGTGAGTACAAACCAAACAAAACTCCTTTTACCGCTTTTTGCACCAGCTCTGCAGTATGGTGATTCACCGGCACAGCCCAGAAAACACCACCCACCTCTCTGCTTCCATACAGCTGAAGTGGGACCCCCTGAGGTTCTCCATACTGGAGAATAACTTTAGGTTCTCCATTATTCAGTAGCGCTTCAGAGGAGCCACTTTCCTTACTTAAAGGGAAAATTTCATGGTGGTGCTGAAACTTTGTTGAAAACGAATGAAAAATGGCCTCCAGGAGTCATTCATTGCATCTTTGCACATGGACCTGATCTTAAGCATATCTGACTCTTTCTGAAAACACATGTACGTAGCCCAGATGGGTAAAACTTGCCAGTCTGCTCATCCTGAATTAAACCAGACCATTTGGAGAGCATCACAAAAGTGGTAAGAAGAGTTCTGCTGGGGCCGTGAGGAGGAATGGAAGGAGAGGCGAGTGCCACAGCCCTGTTGACAAGCCACACAGGCAAACTCATGAACGCCACGCAGGCAAACTCATGAACGAAACGGGAACATGATACCCTCCGCACCGCCTATGAAATCCGCCGCTAGCCAGTACACAGTAAAACAAGTACTTTGCACCTTCGTGGCTAACCTTGGCGTACGGCCCTGCCAGACTCCCTTGGTGATGAAGAGCCCCCCGCCACAGAGCAGCAATGACACCAGAACAAGACATCACAAGACACAGATACATTCTCGGCACAGTCTTACATTCTCCAAAACTCGTGGAACTGATTTCTCTCTCTCTCTCACCCTTGCTCAGTCCAGTTGCAGGCGAAGGTGACATAGCTGTAATATTAATTTTACAGTTTTGCAAAGCTTAATGTATCTGCTTTCTTGTTAGTTCATTTAATTAATTTTGACTGTATGGATCATGTTAGACTTTCATGCATAAATTGCTAAGGTTATAGCTACTATGGATAACGACATACTAACTTTCACATTTATTTGCACATGTGGATATATAATACACACACACGTATGAATTTATACATTTATGCACATGCATGCAGGTATATTTGAAGAACTCTTTTTTCTCCTCAGAGGAAGAACCTCTTTGAGAACACCTTAAAAATACTTTTCTACAAGAAAATTTCCACCATCATGACACAGTTTTCCAAATGGAAATATCTTTTTCTAATGTTAAAAGAAATTCTAAATACACGATGATGAACAATGAACACAGTGCTTAATTAGAGGTCATTTTAATCAAACTTTCCTGTAGAAACTTTAACAATTATCTTACATGCTTAAAAAAAAATCTGCCCAGTGTGATATCAGTTTCCACAAAAGTTGGATTCAAAAATAATCAGTATGAGTTTGCTTTAGTCACTAGCTCATTTGAGGCAGCAGCACTTTCAGTGACTCACTGCTTGGCAAAGTACGAAAGTTTTAAGGCCCAGATTCAGCAAAGTATATAAGGACAAGTCTGAAATTAAGAGTGAATAGTCTCACTGAAGCTGATGGAGAGTTTCAGTGTTGAAAAGTCCTGTGATGTAGCCATAAATCTCATGAGATTCCATATTTGCAGGAAAGCCCCGTTTTCTAAACTATCCCACTGCAGGAGAATTCCAGTTTTTCTGTCTTTTCCTTTTAATGAACCCTTCTGGTGGCATGGAAAGCGTCTGAAAGATGGCTTCAGCACGTTCTCAACAAGATGACCAAGTTCTGCCGCTGAGGTCTGGGGAAGGCGCGATGCCTCGACTGAGCCATGGACCAGGCTGGTGCCAGACGAACACCAGCAAAGTCTGCCTATGATGCAGCTGCGTAACAGCTCAGCAGCTTCTGCTGCTGACGCAACGTGCTGCAAGTACTACGGTCCTTTTTAGCAAGACATCCTCTAAGGGCATGGACGCATCTGTGTGCCCAAGAGTATGACTGTAACTGTTTGTCTCCTATTAATACCATAAAAGGACATAACCCTACCAAGGGGCTTTTACTGACTATCATCTTTAAAGTCAGTCTGATCAGAAGGTGGTTGCAACTTCTTGAGAGTATTTTTCTTCTCTATTTTAGGGAGAAAGTATCTAATGTTTGGTGCCATTGTGCAAATATTTTTAATTCTATGTAATTGCTGGTGAGTGAATGCTACACACTGGGGTCAAGACTTGTTTCTATTATTTTAATTAGATTTGGGAAAAGAAAATCCTACCAAATAAATTATGTGCCTGAAAATAAAATTCAAATATTAACGATAACTTAGAATATTTTAAAAGCTTTAAAAATTATCTATCGTGTTCTGCTTTACTTTTAATTAAATGCTTAAGCCCTTCAAAAGGATTCATTAACACATCTGCAATTCAGATTAATTCATTTTGTCACTGCTGTTTTGACAGATGGCCATATGTAGGATATGGTATTTTGCAAAGCAATCAGGCCACATGAGAAAAATTTGACAACAGATTGCATTAATCTTTAAGGAAGTTTAATAATACACTGAAAAACAAAAAGCATATTATAAAAATATATTTTCAATACAACAGTGTGAGATTTCAGAATTGCGGTTCTCTGATAAGCTATTCAATTGCTGTTTCTCTCACCGAGTGCTCTTCATGTATGTCATTCCTGGATCTTGGAACCGCTTCAGTGTTTAAACCTTTAGGGTTTGTCCTTCTCGCTGATTCATGTACACAACTCCCACTAGCAGCAATGAGTTACCCATAAAGAGGAGCTCAGACAGCTAAAACTTAGCACCAGCGAAGAGTGCATTTGTTATCGTCAGCAAATGACCTGTTTTCAGATTCACTTAACACAAAGCCTGCTATTCTCAAAAGTCTTAATCCAGCAAAGAATTGCGACTCTGGGCCAGATTGCACCAGACCATTTGAGCTCAGTCTTAGCCTTAAAGCATCCAAGTCCTTTTGGGTTTACAGCTTGAAAATAAGCTTCTTTGGACTGGAGCCCAAGCACTCAGCACCTTGCAGGCCTGATCCCCTCGCCCAGGGGAGCTGCATGTGAGGGAACTTTAGCCCGTATTTGTTGAATAAAGTTGCAGTTCTCATCTGCTGCCACTCAACCAGAGTCCAGACACTGTTATGGAGCTTTGCATTATTAATTTTAGCTTAATTTTTCTTCTTTTTTTTTTTTTTTCTTCCCCTAAACAGGCAATGTCTGTGGCTCTCCTCCACTGAATCTGAGTACTTCCTGATATTAAGAAGCATTGGGTAAATAAAAAAATACATGCTTTTACAAAATTATGGGTTATCTGGTGCTTTGGAACCAAATTCTACTCTACCAATGGCTTCAGTGAGACAAGTCACATAAGTCAAATATAGTCTTTTTTTAGGAAATACTAATCCAAACAATACTCAAAGAAAGGAAGAAACACATTTTACCAATTCTGAAAAATTAAAATGTTGCCTGTGTGCATGTCTACATTATTATTATTAATGTTAATAACAGTGGGATGCACTCCCAGTGAAAAGGCAGTAGGTGGTCATTATAGATTCAGTACTTCTCAGAAACATCCTGGAGACGATGTATTCATGCACTGAATGAACCCTCTTTATATTATTATTTTTAGATGAAAAAAAATTCTGTCTGGGCTGGGGCTAACGAATTCATCCTTTGGTCTCAATGGCACTTGAAAAATTGCCTTATGTTCTCTTTATACTCAACAATTTCACAAATGGAAAGAAATACAACACTGAAGATGATCTAATGCTCTAAAATTCTGTCTTTTTTAACTTCATCATATACTTCAACACAAAGGGTTGTTGCTGTTTTTCAGTCCACTTGTCGGGGATTCAAAACCCTGCCTCTCAAAAGAACATTTTATAACCCTTTTCAGGTTTATTAAAATTTAAGACCATGAATCAACAGAGAGCAAGCCCCAGACTGGGCAGCAGGAAGAGCTGGGAGAGCTGAGCTGGGGCTCCTCGGGCAGCGGGGGCTTCTAGGACGCACCAAAAGCCCCAGTTACAGGATGCATCAGCCAACGTCAGCACTGGCACTAGGATGGCATCCTTCTGCTGTACATCAGGTACGCAGTCAGTTCTGCTCACGTCTTCATCAGAAGAATGCAGAGGGAGTCACACCTAGCACCCAAAGCTATGGATGTCATGGGAGAGGAGATGCTAACCTCAGTCCCCAAGCCAAAGGGAATGGGTGCTCGAGCAAAGAAGAAAGCAATGATATGACTTTATCCCCGCCAGCCAAAGGAGGCACTGGAGTTAAACTGAACCGCAGCTGGGTAAAAACACAAAGGGCAGCACATGTGGAGCAGACAGACAGCAAAACTGGAGGCCCAGGGAATGGCTTCTCCCATCCCGCAATCTGTAGTGGTCCGTGTCAGCAGAGCTCCCTACAAGTGGTCCAAGAGCCACACAGCCGGTGCTTAGGTAACACTGGGAAGTGAGTCTCAAAGGGATGATTCACATTCATAACAGAGCAGCCACCAATTGCCCACTTTTCATGCAGACCAAACACAGGGAAAGAAACGCGGCGGCTCACCCCAAGCTCCCAGGGCAGAAGAGGCGCTGGGTTCCAGCTGTGAACCACAGTCTCCATTTATGAGACTGGAGAGAGGGATGAAAGGTGAGGGCATGGTGAGGGAAGGAGCAAGACCGGACCACTAACCTCTAAATAAAACCACCAGTAACACTTTGGGATCAGACGGTGACAGGAGACAGAGTGTTTCCAACTGCCTTTTTCACTTAGACTATATCTTTCCTGTTTTTCTTCACCTTTCATTAGGTGCAGCAAAGCCATGTCACTAAGAGTGCAGGTTAATCCCCAGGGAATGTGTTTCACTCCAGCTTAGCGTTGGAAATTCACAGGCTCTTGGACAGTTCTAGTGGTACATGCTTACAAGGAGACATGACCATATCACATTTCTGCCATTCTCCAAAAACCCTCTATCTATGAAACCAAGAAATCTCAGAAAACACCTTCCTGGGAAGGAAATGGCAATGGGACGAAAAGGTGGTAGAAAAGCACTGATGTTCAAACAGGCAGGTCTCATCTGGTAGAAGAGGCAGGAGATAAGGATTGAAGCAACAGGAGAGGATCAACCCCACTACAGAGATGCTGGATCATGGAAAGGTGAGACGGGGAAGCTGAAGGTGTGTAGCAGATCCCAATCTAGCAAAAGGCCCAAGCAGAGAGGATTGTGGCACAGGGAGAGATGGGGTGTGAGAAACCAGCAGGTCAAGAGACAGCCAAAAGGCCTCTGGAAGGGCTCTAATCACAGACAAGGATAAGACCTCAACAAGATACCTGCAGCCATCGAGGAAAGAGGGAGGATGTAGCACATGGTGCTGGAGGTGGACACAGAAGGGTGACTGCCTGCCTGTGCACTTCAGGGTTTCTCTGGCTCAGCCTTGGGTTTTATCACGAAAGACAGGCAGGAGTTAGGGCTGCTAAGCTGAAACTAATGACTAATTAGTATGAGTTAAATAGTTAATTAGAAATTAGCTAAGTAGCTGCAGGGGGTCAGAAGCAATGCCAGCACAGTGCCTACGGGAACCACATGAGCTGAGCAAGGGTGATGCCAGTGCCACGGGACAGCCTGAGCCTTGTCCATCCAGGCAGGAGAAGGAGGAGCTCTGCTCGCAGCTCAGCAGGGCTGAAGCATCACCATCCCTCAGCTCTTGCCCCTTTTCCCTATTTCAACGAGATGCCTGTGCAAGTTCCATCACTGCACTTCTCCGTAGATCAGTATGACCTGGCCCAAGAGCCTGCAGGGTCAGTACCCCTAATCCCTGGGAAGAGAAGGAAGCAGTGCACGGAAGCTGAGACACCTACAAACTGCATTGCTGAGACATTCAATCTGAAGAGATGCATCTTCAGCCAAGAAACTGTGACTCATGATTTAATTTTTCCAGGACATAAGATTTTGAAGTGATTCATTTGGTCAGAAAAAAACAGTCCTACCATTTTTCATTTTGGGGTAACGTTAATTTCATACCGGTTTTACCAATTTCCAGTTAGCACAATAAAATCAATCTCCAGGTGATACTCTTACAGCACCAAGACTTTGAAGCTCCCTTTTCTGTAACTAAAGTAATTATTGCTTTTGAAAATGAACTTAATACTCTAACTCTTTCTTTAAGAAGCTTTTACAGATTCAATCATCTTCAGCAGTGCAATTAAAGCAAAGCCAGCATGTTTATTTTGTTTGCAGAGAAGAAACTGATTGAAACCATATTTATAGTCTTGGAGCAGAGTCAAAGCCCTGCTGACATAAAAGCCACTTACAATATGCATTTGGTATCCGTATTGTTAAAGTGTCCACTCTGGTCAAAGTAAAATGGCTCAGCTGGATTTTCTCCTCCCCAGGGTGAGACTGGAAAGCATCTGATATGAATTTCAGCAAACTAAATACTTCCCCTCCTTACTGAAATTCCTATGCATATCAGACAATGAGTCTTAACCTCAAAAAAAGAGTTTAGGATCTGGATAATTAACTTGGAAATTCTCCTTCAGCTTAATTTAAAAGCAAAAAAAAAAAAAAAAAAAACGGGAAAAGATGGTCTTTAATTTTAAAGGGATTTTTCATATTAAGCTTTGGTCTAAGTGCCCTTTCCTAGAGATGATCTAAATTCATTTCTCATCAGAGAGGAAACTGCACCTCTATTGAGTAGATGTCATTGACAGATACCAAATTAACAAACTGAAGCCTTATATTTTCAACATAAATCTAAAAGATTCAGTTCTTCGCAAAGAAAATATACAGAGAGCAGCTGCCAGAGCCGTAGCCTTAGCAACCACACCTGCTTCATACTCACGTCGGCTTTCATACATGCTCCTGGACTGGGCCCAGATTTTGAACGGATCTGGCTTTTTCTGCCCAGAACTGTCCGGTTGATCTGCAGCCGGCGCCTCCGCGGCGGTGTAGTCCGGCAGCACCTGCGTGCTGTGAACGGGGGAAGCGGTGTGCCCGCTGCGGTGGCTGGAGACGCTATGCTGAGAACTGTTTTGGCTGTCTTTCCTTTCAAGTGGTTGCTATAAGGAAGAAAGCAAGTGGAAAGAGAGAGAACAGACGGTTATTGGTCTTTGAGTGGGTGTTTTCCATCAATTTTTCTCCCTTCTTTGATCAGGGTTTCTGCATGCACATAAGTAAGTATATAAATCACAGTTTTGCTGCCACCGGTTAATGCTGGGTACAGTTAAACTCCCCGATGACAGATTTTGATAGGCAGACTGACAGAAAGAGATATGCAAAACAAAGTCATTTATCATAAAAAAATATGCAGTTCTCCATCTCACATAAAACAAATCTAAATCTCATTATAGGTTACTAGTTTCAGCGCACTTCTTTTTTCTTACATTAAGGCAGAAAAACTCAACAACCTTCTACTCAGGTAACATTAGGATCTAACTTGAGCCTGCAAGAAAAAGGAAAAACTACCAAATTTCACTGCGAAAACTTAAACAGTCCCTCTGAAACAGATGCAAGCACAGCCCTTACTATGAAAGATCACTTTTCCTCTGCAGCTCTTGCAACCCCCACATCACAAGTGGGTGGACAACAGAGTACCACTCTCATGTCTCTGCTTCCCAGAGCATCCACAGGATTACAGCAGACCTTCACAAATGTGAAAATGTCTATTTGCAGTTTGATTTCCTTGTTTTAATTGAGCATATTAAAACAGGAAAAAATACGTCCGCCTAAATTCAAGGCTTATTCAAAAGCATTATGTCAAGAGCTCTGTCTGCTCAATATTTAGCTAAGCAGGGTACATAATTCTTAACTCAAATTCACAACGGCGTGCTCAAATGAAGCACAAGTCACATTTGCATTGCCAGGATTCGTACTACTCAATATGCAGCAAAATCCTCCCTCAACAAGAGCTCCCCAAACTGTACAGCAAATGCTTTTTAATGCTCTTTTGAGATGACCTTGGGTTGGCATCAAGGTCGAGTCCAATCTCCCACCTGGTCCGGCACAGGGAACTGGCACGTTCCCGGGGACGCTGTGACGCAGAGGGCGGCTGGAAAAATAGCATCCTACAGGTTGTTTTTACAACATCCACAATTTCCTGGCTAAAAGGGGTCAGCGGCTCGGACCAAGAAACCTCAGGCAAAAATGTAAAGCCTCCTGCTGGCAGGGGGTACCCGAAAACACTGCAACAGGAGTCTCTGCTTTCAGGGACTTCTCCATAGCAAACCAAGCAGGGGCTGGGAGAAAAGCCAGCGGCAAACACCGAGCAGACGAGCACAGGGGGCTGAGGCGCACGCAGCTCTGGGGACCCCCTCCTTTACTCTGAACGCAAAACCCCAGGCAGCCAATGCTCCATCACAGCAGGGCTGAATTAATTACAGAGGAGAAAGTTACCATACAAAAGTGCCCTCTTTCTGAGACTTAACAAGAATTTTTCTTTTTTTTTTTTTTTTAAGGTGCACGTATTTTTAGGTTCACACAAGAAAAACCAGCTCCAACAGCCCGAATGACTTCGACCTCTCAGCCTTACATTCGAGTTGTTGATCCACTACCAGCATTTTTTTAAATGGTATCTCGATCGACTAGAATGTGAAATTGCCTTTGTCCTTTAAAGCAATTTTGAACAAAGCATACGTGCTGTGATTACTCATCTGCAGACTTTCATATACAAATATCTGAACCAATTTCAAACATTTTTAGCTTTTTAAGTGGTAAAAGAAGCTAAGTCACAAGCAGCCCTTCAGTTTTTAAATGAAGCAGTTTTAAAACATCTATGCTGTGGATAATCACTCCTTTGTAACTTATAAAAAAAAAGAAAAACCACTTTACAACTCTGAGTCCAGCCATCTGGATTGTTTTGTTTGTTTGGCCAAACTACTAAAATAACTACAAGCATCCTGTGAAACTTCAGGCCAATCTCACTGGAAATAGCTGGTTTACAGAAGTTGGAGTACAGGGACTAAAATGTGAAGCTTTATTCAGCCCTTGGGGAAATGTTGAGAACTCTCTGAAAACTTTCTGGTTTAAAAAGAAACAAAGTTTGAACTTTAAAAAGTGTTCTCACTTTATGATATGAAAGGTCTAAATATTGAACAGACTATGAATTCTGTTTTGTATTTGGGTTGCAAATGGAAGTGTCAGCATATCTCAAGCAAAACCACCTCTAATTAAACTAGAGTTGCAATTGCAAATACACAGACATTTTGCAAGAAACAGGGGAACACTTCTGCTGAGGGACAGTTGTTTTTCCAAACAATAACTCCTTTAAAAAACCTGAAACATCTCTACTTAGGAGTTGAAGAGAGGGGCAGAGAAAGGGAACACAATCATGGAAAACATGAATATATGTAATTAAATTAATTCAAGACAATATTAATTGACTTTCACATCACCAGATGAGGCCAAAAAAGTTTGGGGCCAAACTTTTACATGTGCTGTAGCACCTTCAGCAGTTCATCATCATCAGGACTTGCAGGGGTCTGACGGCCCTGCTCTCCATGGAGCTCTGCAATGGGGACTGCCCAGATGGAGCAGTTTGGGCCTCGGTGCAAAGGTGGAGCTTTCCCAAGCAGTCTGAGCTGATGATACGCCAATGAAAGGATGGCTTCTCTATCTCCTACCTCGTTTCTAGCTCTGGGACCCGTCCTCCTGGGTCTGGGTCTGGGTCTGGGTCTGACTGCCCGGCTCACTCACCTCACATGGGCAGGAAAGCAGCTAAATCAGGGCCAGATGAGCACGGGGCTGTTTGGTGACAGACTGCTGCAGAGCGGGTGGTTCAGACCTCACCCTGAGATGCTGATCATGTTTTTTAGTGACAAGTAAAGCAGATCAGCTGAATCGTGTTGACTTCTAACAGTAGCTACAAGAGCATAGGGCACCGAACTACCCGCCAGCAAGAGCACTGCTGACCCTCCAGAGTCTACGGTCTTCTCCAGAGCTGTGGATAAGCATAAATAGCTTGCCAGAAAGACTTGAACAAAAGTGGCTAGAAATCAAGACTACGATGACTACCTTGAGTCCGTTTAGGCAGATTGCACACTTAAATACAGGTAATAGGGAAAAAACAGTCACCTTGGCACCGTATTACAGCCATGACAAAATAAATCGGTGGAAAACTGGAGCTTCTCGTGCCCCACCCAAGCCCCAGGTCTGAGATGCATGGCCTGTGCCAGCTTCCCTGTGCCCTTGCTGAAACTTCACAGTGCTCATCCTGCAAAACATAAGATGAAGAAAACGTACTATTGGGAAGGAAGTCTCTTCTAGCTGCCTTTTCCCCACTAGTTGAGGTTAATAGGAATGTCAGCGTGCCTCAGATTTCCAGGTGCAGCTGTGGGGGCAATTGCTGCAGAAGAGGGGGCAGCAGCGGTCACGGTTTGGGCATACATCAGCCTTCCAGGATTTCTTCCCTCTACTGTGCAATCCCATTTTCAGCCACAGGCACTCCATTTGCTGACCTGAAAGGCAGCTTCTCCCTCAGCAGAGAGGCTGAGTGAGCCCACGCTGAGCACTACATCGTCCTCCGATTATGGGAAGAGAAGAAAACAGCAAAGGTGACGCGAGCTAGGGAGCTTGAAGCTGTTGTGCTTCAAAAGGAGACAGGAGGAAAACTGCTTACAAAAGTCTCCAAGTGCCTGGAAAATGCTACAGATACCCACATAGCAGAGACCAGTTTGTCATTCATGATGGATGAAAGAGTAATTAAATGTTACTTTGTACAGTGACTGCTAAAACAACTGAGGCCCATGACATGGCTGAGAGGTGGCTGCAGGCAGAGAGGGGACGCTAATTATTAGCAGCAGTTGTGTATGTCTGTGTCAGGCAGAGAGAAACCCGCAGCAGAAGAGGCGACGGAGGCAGGGAGCATGTCCTGCGGCACGAACGGACACCAAAGCTTTTTGGCAGGGGATTCTCCAGGCATTAAACTGCAACAGAGAAGAGTTGCTGTGGTTTCCTCCCACTGCATTTCAAGGTGGAGGCTGGGGAAATGGTCTCTGAATGAAGAGGGATGTGTTGTACAAACACTCGTGCTATGGAACCTACTTCTCCTCCTGACAAGGACAGGACATCAGCAGAGCCCCAGGTGCTGCCTATCCACCTGAAATACGGGGCTAGCCTCTTGTCAGGGACAGGCTGTGCACAGGAATTGCATTTCTGGCCACAGTTCAGCTATGCTGACAGCGTATTTATTTACACCCAAAAGAAAAATTAGATTTTTGGAAGAGTTTAGCAATTCCTTCCTCTTGCACTGATCCTGTCTTCTGATGATGTAGCTGCAGATTTTGTGCTCTAGAGCATTTTGGAGAAGCTGGTCCTGGCAGCGATAGGAAACTGAGCTGCAAATGGGAATCTTTGCCCCCTTGTGGAGTACTTTGATGCAAGCAACACGGGAGGAAAAAAAAAAAGAAAAAAAAAGTTTGTTTTCATGCATATTATACCTGGATAATTGCAGGGGAAATTGCTATATTAGAGAACTTGCACACTGAAAATGTATATTCCTAGATGGTCAATACAAAAATATTATCCATTTTAATCTGAAGAAGAATCAATGGGAAACTGAAAACAAGCAACACAGAGAGCTGCTGTGAGCATATCCTTGGTGGGGGGAAAAGGGGAAGAAAGGACTTGGAAGTGCCCAGTCCCACGTATGGCTGCAAAATTTTTTTTTTTTCACTCTTCCATCAAGGTTGAAAACTCTTCTTAAAAACTGAGAAAAAGAGCAAAGCTCATCAGAAGATACACACAGGCTGAAAAATACAGCCCAGGAAAACTGAGCTCAAGGCAGAAAAACATTCCCAGATGGTGTCACAGCCCCAGACCTAACAAACCTCTCCAAGGGCCTAAAACACCTCCTCCCAGCCGGGAGGTATCCAACAGCCTAAAGTCGGCCTTTCAGGAATACGGGATTGGAGCTGATAGCTAAAAATAGGGCTTGTTTGAGAAAGAGACAGCCATTGGCAGGAAGTTGGGTGTGTGTCCAGGCTCTGGGAAAGGATACGAGGCAAGAAGAGAGGGCTCGTCACTGTGCTGAGTGAAGCAGAAGAGGATGGAGACCTGAGCTCGTGTTTTCCCCAATGCAGCAGAAGAAACAAAAAAGGAGCACAAGTTAAGTTTGGGCCAACTGCTCCTGTCCTGGATGTACGCTGTCGTTTAACTGCAGCTAATCTATTAATCAAGGAATGCTGGAAAACATTGCCTCTGCGTTGGGCAAAGGGAGCGGGGAAAACACGAGCTCAGGTCTCCATCCTCTTCTGCCCAAGCCCCATAGCCAGCCCTGCGGCACTGGGGACAGCCTGCGGGCGCACAGCTCCGCCGGCAGCACCCACATTCACCCAATGGCTGCAAGTGCAGCAAACCATCCCTGGGAAATGCCGGGGCAGGGCGCAGGGAGACGGCATCCCCGCCAGGATAGCCCCTGCCAGGACAAGAGCAAGTGGGAATCTTCAGGGCCAAGAAGGCCGGGATCCCCTCACCTCACAGCCAAGCACCAGCCCTGGTTTAGTTAAATCAAGGAAGAAAAGTGTTAAGCAATACCACTGCTTCTACGCTTTTGACCATCACCTTGGACACACAAGCTCTGGTGTTGGTGTAAATCCATCACAGACTGCCCCAGGACAGTTTCCTTCTCTGCATACGGCTGCCCCCAGGCACTTTGCTCCAGGTTTCCCTGCTCAATCTGTGCACGTCACCGATGCCTGGGAATGAAGGAGCGGCTGTGCTGGCTCCGACGGGCTCTGCTCTGCCCCTCCGAGGAGCGGTCGGTCATTAAAACCGCACAATGCAGCGGTGTAAAACATCGCTGCTAATTGCTGATGCAAATGATCCGGTGTGCAGGCAGGGGGAATAGGAGGCTCTGGTTTTTGTGAATCCTGCGCTTTAGAGGCAACAGCACCGCCTAGGGCCATAGTAACAATTACTGGAGGGATCCTAAAGCAACATGAGAGGGGTCTGGGAGACGCATGCAAGGGAATGGGACTGCTTTCCCAGGGCTGACCGGCTCCTCAAAGCAAATAGTAGGGAGAAATCTGCTGTTGCAGGGCTGCACTTGTTTGCAAGCAGTCTCTTTGTTCACCGAAGCAGGATTATCCCGACATGGATTTAGATGCTGCTCAGATTTTCACGGTGCATCACTGCCGACCAGAGAGGTGTCTGACACAGCAGGATCCCCCTCTACCTGATGCTGAATGTGCGTGTGGCAAAGCGGGAGCCTCCACGCTTTGAACAGACTGAGACTCATTGATCGGGGCTGGTTTAATGACAGGAGTCGGAGTCTGGATCAAGTGCAGCCGCTCCTGCTCCGACTGGGAAAAAAAGTGCAGGCAGAGAAAAGAAACGTGCCAGACGCGTCCGTATTTTACACACTTGCTTCTGTTTTACCGAAGGCTGAAATAATTTCAGCGTATGACAGAAGTGAGCGCGCAGGGTCTGACGTGCCTGTGATCTGCGAGGGAGCACACCCCACATTTCTGCCTCACATTAATGCGAGCTGACAATGGTAGAGGCCTGGCCTCACGTGACTTTAATCAGCGCTGCCCTAAGCCATCAGAATCACATTAATTATTTCAGGGCTTTCTTTTTGGATGAACAGAGAACTCGTATTAAAAGCAGGAGCCTTCTGCTCAGCCCCTTCATAAACCTCTTGCCCAGGTTTGCAGCGAGGCAGGCTGCGCCCAGCTGCAGCTTTTGGCACCCGTGGGGGACTGTTGGTGAAGTTTCGCACCGTCTTACAACACGGCAAAGACCTCACTTGCTCTGCTTCCCCAAAGCTACCGGGAGAGAATTCTCTTTTTTCCTTTCCCTCTCAACAGATAACTGGAAACTTTAAGGCTTTAAGTATTCCATTTCCTTTAAAAATAAACCATTTCTCTTTGTTGCATACAAATAGCACATTGATTTCTTCCACAATATCGTGTATAGAGCTTTAATGATACTTTAGATCACAGCTTCCATGCTATTAGCTAACATGTCATCCAGGTAACAGCTTTACGTGGAAATACGATCAGAAGGGACAAGTAAATGCTGTCCTGTTGGGTTTTTTTAAAAAATAAGAAATCTCACACCTGCAGCACACCCCTGCTCGGTATGAAAACGCCTCCAGAGCAGCACTCGGACGGCTAACCGTATTCCCCGGGAACCATAATCATGCTCCGTTCATGCTTTGTCTCTCTCAACAAGGTGCATGCTCGCCGTTCTGTTAATAATTCAGCCGAGGGTACTCAAGAAAACTCAGGGAGTTAATGGAAAAGGTTGGTGCCTATGAGCACCCGACAGGAATTGCTATCTGGCAAGAAGGTGGAGCCTCCCATCTTTCCAAAAGGAAACAATAGCTTTTTTTTTTTTTTTTTTGGTAAGTTAAACGACAGAGAAGCTCATCTGTTGGGGAAGAGGATCTGTAAACCTGAGGCTTTATTTGCAAACAAGTCCCTCTTCTGTACTGCATTCCTCTTTCATCTCCGCATGCAGCAGGAGCCGTGCAAGGTAATCATGGTTGCAACAGAAAGACAACTTAAAACAATCAAGACCCACAAAGAAAACAAACCGAACTCATGCCTTTCTCCTTCAAAGCAGACAAACAGACAAAAATAGTAGCTGAAAAGTGCTTACCGACTTTGGGCTCTTCTTTGGGACCGGCAGTCCTGAAAAATGGCAACAAGGGAAAAATAAACATTAGCATCTAAACGTTACCTTCCCTTAAAGAAAAATCCCTAGGTGTATCATCCGAACGTAGCCATCTGCAGAGTTATGTCAGCTTTCGGTCTCGCATCGGAGTTACCAGTCTGTTCATATCGAATCAAAGCACAGGGAGCGGGAGAGCGAGCGAGAGACGGGAGCGGGGAAGAGGGAGCGGGGGGAGAGCTCTATCTGCATTAGCTATGCTGACTTGTGCTGCAGCAGCCGGGAGGCTGGGAGAGAAACCCACAGCCCTCAGCGGTCGCCGAAACCCGGCGCTTGGGCAGAATCTCAAATGCTCCCCTGGATTACGGGAGACTTAGCTGACAATTAAGCCGAGGCTATTTCCTTTTGACGCGAGCGGCTCGGCGATTTTATCGGACCAATCGCGGCGGCGCAGGGGAAACAGGTTGATTTTTTAAAAAGTATTTCTCTAGAAATCAATTTTTGAAAGGAAAACGCGGATTGGCTTGAGCCGGGAGGTGGGGGCTGGGCAAAGGAAAACAAAAGCATGAGGAGGAATAAGCTTTTATCCCTAAAAATGTGAGTGTTATTGAGAAAACACGCGTTTTCCTTCCTGTTCATCCTAAGTGTAAATCTTTGAAGCCAGAGATTTTATCTGTTAGTTACAATTTCAGAGACCTGAGGCTTGAAAAGAGCACCGCAAATGTCCTGACCCTTGGGGGGGATGCTAGGGAGCTTGGAGAAGGGGGGCTTACACAGGTTGCAGTCGATGCAAAGGGAGAAACAACTGGGAGGGCACCAGAGAAGGGTTTTTCAAGGGCAATTTTGCATTTTGGAGCAGCCTGTTACCCGCTCTGTGATGAGCAAGAGAACTCAAGTGGGATTTCTGTTGACTACTTCTGCATACAGCTCAATTCCCAGCAGCAAAGGAGACGCTTGGCCAGGGGATTTACCTACAACGCAGGCAAAGCTCTTTCCTGGGCATTTTGCAAATCACTTTTCCTCCACTGTTGCAGGAGAGGGAACTCCCCATATTTTGCTCTTTGTGGCACTCCAGAAAACAAACGTAAACCAAACCAGAAGATTACACTCCACATTAAGTGCTCAGTAATTCAGATGTCTGAAATCTGCTTTTGTCTTTAGGAGGTGATTTATGTGGCATTTATGCCGCATTATGTTTTCTACTTTATGTATTTTGTTTGTGCTAAAACCCATGCCCTCGTCTAACTTTTACACAGAGAATAAAATAAGTGATGCAAGTGAATTACAAATCTGTCTAGGAAGAAGCTCATTTTAAGGTAATTTGGGAGATGTTAGCTCTGAATAGGGAAGATCCGCAATTAAAAATGATAAACAGAGCTCACTTTGCTGCCTGCTCACAGACTGGGATGCAAACTGTAATGAGTATTTTAAATGAAATATTTGCAGCTTTTGAGGAATACCTGTGCTCTGCACGTCACTCATGCACTCCCAGCCGATAGCTGATACCCCTCCAGGCACCCATTGATCGAGGGACAATGAAACATCAAAACTGTTTGAACTAAACAATCAAGACTGCAGCTTCATTTCTGCTGACGGTGACTGCGTTTGTATAATCCACTTGAAGAGAAAAGCACTAATAATGTTCATGGCAAGTCACATTTTTAACAGGCATCATTTATCACAGAGATAAACACACAGATAGAGATTCTCCCTCTCTCTCTCTCTCCTTCCACATGCATGCACACACGTTTACTCTCCCTTTCCAAGGGATGCTCTTTCCTATTAAATCAATAGGTAGAACAGATCCTCGTGCACGCAGGCACGCACCCTTAACGGACCAACATGAGCCAGAAAAGGTATTACAGCAATTTAAATGTTCCACGCAAAAAATAAAGCTGAGATGCAGCTGGGCTGTTGGTTCAAATTGTACCAGAATTCAATTTATTGCATCACAAGCATTAAACGTTAAAATTTACCAAGTATGATCTACTGAACAAACCCTTCCTTCAAAGTATGTCATTAATTTTGGCTGTTCCAATCCAAAAAAGATGGAAAAGGGTTGAAAAATAATGGAAAACACATCAAGGCCATTGTTTGGCGGGTCCTTCAGAGGCTGATGAATCTTACAGTGTCACTGCTCTGTGCCAGACTTTGCTGCAGAACAAGCAGTAATTGACTTTTTACTAAAATAAGCGACTGCAGAACACGTTAACAAATGTTGGTAGTTTTTCATGGGACAAGCTTCTAGTCAGGGGAATAACCTGTCTGTACATTTTCCTGTAAAAATGTTATTTATTCATCTAATTAGGGTCTCATTGTAAAACTCCAGTTCTTGACGCAGCAGGCCAAATGAGCAAATAATAGGTATAATATGTAGTTTTCATGCTCAGATGATGGAATGGATACAGCATTTAACAGCCATGAACACGAAGCGCTTGAATAACCCCCAAATCCTGGGAGCATCACTAGCAAGAAAACGCTGAGCTTTACCAAAAAGCTTCTGGCAAAACCAACTGCCCACGCCTATGAGTTTGGGATGGTGACAACTAGGAATTACAACATTCACCTTTTGATTACATTAACCACGTCCCATCAGTGCTCAGGCCACTGCTCATGCCATGTCTCCCTTGGTATGCTCATCCTCCCAGCTGCCCCGTTCTCTCCCGAAGCCTCACTGAAAGTTTGTCAGAGGTAAATGCGCCAAGCGTGGACTTAACACCCAGTTTTCATCTCTTTGGCATTGTCCAGTTTTTTAGTGGTCAGAGTAATGGCATTCACAAGCCTGGCTAAGAGAAGCCCTCAAATCTGATAATGGAATAACAACAGTTTATATCAACACTGTTTGCAATATAATCCCTCTCTGATGTAATGCCTATGGACATCTCTCACTAGTACTTGAAATGCATCTTCTGATTTTGGGGGGTTTTGGAGGTGCAGATTAGGGACGGTGGAAGAGTCACGCAACCGAACGGGACTGTTGTCATCACAGAGTTAACAGTGTTTTAAAACAAACGAGCACATCTGGTAAACAATGTCAATATGACCTAAAACCCCTTGAATGGGCTCATTGTAGCTACTTACTAAATGTGCCTGGAATTAAATTAATTAGAAAGCACAAATTACTCCCCTCTAAATAACAATGTAATAAAGCAACTGTTTAATGAAAAATATCAGTGATCAGTGAGCAATCCGCAAGCACAAAAAAAGGGATTGTAATCAAACTAAATTCACAGACTCGTCAGCAAGGCAAGAAAGGCTTCATACAAGGTTAGTCAAAAATGACTCAGATGCAGGGATATAAATTAAACTAATTATCACAGAGATTATTACATTTATCTTAACAAAAACCTCTCTCTTTTCTCCCCAGTACTCCCTAAAGCTCTGTGTACAGCTGGCTGCATCCATCTGCTCAACTACGTTTTGTAACATAGGGGAAAAAATGGAAATCATTAAGCAAGTTTTGTACCATGACTTCAGCACTCTTAATGCCATTACCCATCAGGAGCAGTGTTTCTGTTGCGTGACACTGTATTGTGTTGTGAGTGATGCAGTTCATGAAGTAAGGCCACAACCCAGGTTATTTCATATTATTTGGCACGTGTTAATTTTGTAGTCTTGTGTGGCAAAACTTTTGGAGCTGGGAAGCTGTAAGTTCCCTGACTCTACCTACGATGAGTTAATGGAATAACCCATGGGACAAAACCATGACCCCAAGTATCGCTGTTTCTAACATGCAGTGGTCCTCAATTTTTACAGGAACATCTTCTCAACTCTTTTGTCTTTATGTGACCAAAGTAACATGGGAAGAGCATGACACATGGCAAATTCTGTTTTGCTAAGCGTATACAGAATGCAATGTGTGACTACAAATCCATACCATAGCCTGGACCTGACTCTGGTGTGAGCTCAGAAGGCCACAAGTGCTCAAAAACTACCTAGAAGGACACCGGACACATCACGCCCTGTTCTACAGCCCTGTGTTTTAGACATAGCGGATCAAAATGATCAAAACTTGAATCATAAGGAAGACCTGTCTCTAGGCACCGCAGGAGTCATCCAGTCAACCCATCCAAACAGCTTGGTTATGTGAAGGCCAGTTGGTGTGAACGCTTCTCCCTCCACCACAAAAAAAAAAAAAAAAAAGTATATATTTACATGGGATTTCAACTGAAGTTTGAACAATTCAGTACCGGTTTGCGGTAAAAAAAAAAAAAAAAAAAAAAAAAAAAAAAAAAAAAAAAAACTCTAGGCACCGCAGGAGTCATCCAGTCAACCCATCCAAACAGCTTGGTTATGTGAAGGCCAGTTGGTGTGAACGCTTCTCCCTCCACCACAAAAAAAAAAAAAAAAAAGTATATATTTACATGGGATTTCAACTGAAGTTGGAACAATTCAGTACCGGTTTGCAAAATCCACCCACAGGACAACAGTGCTTGAAATTGCTAAGAGCCAGTCTAGAAGCCAGATGTACCACCTTATTTATTGCTTACGTCTGTGGCTACTGCTCAACGTTTTTCAGTTTCGGGGTGTTCTTGCACATGAAAGGAAAGAACGACTGTGTCTAGATCTTTACTTCTCATGATTGCTTAACACTTCCAACCAGGACACCCTGTGGACCATCCATACCCAACAGCAAAAAAAAGCCATAGGTGAGCCTAGGTGAAAAGGTTACCCATTTGCTTTCGCCATCACGTGGTCTGCAGCCCAGAATGCACAACAGCTGAAAATTAGCAGGAGATGAATAAAAACACAAGAAAAGAAATATTTCAGACTGTGTCACAAGGTTAGCATTTACAGAGAAAATGTTCCTGCCTGGAAAAAAATAAAAATAACAAGCTTTCTAAATAGTGCTGCTTACACTGTGCCGAATAAAAACCAAAGGCTGTATCAAAGAAAAGAGACACTTCGAAAGATAAGGGGTAAAGTACTGGAGAGTCAGGGGGTACACAACCATATACCGGCCACTGCACATTGATCGCTGCTTTCTGTGTGAAAAACAAGGAACTCTAAATAATTAACG